AGCAGACAGCACCCTTTACGCCCAAGTGCCGCTGGACATCGCGATGCAATATTTCTTTCGAGCGAAACGAGCCACGGCCGCACTCCCGCCAGGCAAACGACTGGCATGGCTACAAACCCGTGATGCCGAAGAAAGCGGGCGGAGTGGACGGCACGCTTTCGGGAAAGCTCTCAGTCGCTCGGCGTCATTATTAAAGAAGTCTACCTGGCGCGAGATGCGCGCTGGTTGCCGCCAACACCAGCGGAGCCAGCGTTCGCCACCCCCGGGAAGAACGCACCGCCGGCAGCCACCCCGGCGACCTCCAAGTTTGCATTGGGGAAGTCGCTCCAAGGCAAACAAGTGGCGCGGGTACTTCGCGATGGGACACTCCTGTGCCAGGCTTTCCAGGAAGGCTCTTGCAAGAGCAAGGGGGGCAAATGCAAGCTAGGCCAACATCGTTGCGGCCATGTCACCAAGAAGGAGCGGGTTTGTGGAGCTCCGAACCATGGGGCAGCAGCTTGCCGTAATACCCCCAAGGCCTGACGGGGCCTTGAAGAGGCAGCGGCAGCCTCTTCAGGGTCCGTTGAGGATCCGCCGCAACCAGGGGTGGGACCCCTGATGGCCGACCTGATGTCAGGGCCCAATGCACCACTTACCAGAGCTTTCATCTTTTGCGGCTGGAGATGCATCACCATTGACTGGTTGATCAACCCTCAACACGACCTCGCACACCCGGAGTTTCAGCAAGAACTTCATGAGATGTTGAAGTAAGCCGATTGCATCTGTGCCGCGTTGGATTGTAGCACCAAGTCCCGAGCTCGAGAGATTCCCCGTCGTTTCGAGGACGGCCGGCCCGCTCCGAAGCCCCTGCGGTCAGACGAACACCCCACAGGCCTTCCACACCTCCGAGGGAGTGACCTTCGGCGAGTGACCAAGGACAACCAGGCCTGTGATTTTGTTCTCCAGGAGATCCAGGCATTGGCCGATCGCGGTGGAGCGTCACTGCGGGAGAATCCGGCGAGAAGCCTCCACTGGGAGCTGCCCCGGGAGAAGCAGATGTTGGCGTCCGGCGATTGGCAGGACACCTGCTATGCGGCATGTTGCTTCATGGGGGCACGGTGCAAGCAGCAGCGGCTCAGGCACAACATTCAGGAGATCTCCCAGTGGCCGCCACTCCAATGTCATCATCAGCACGACCCAGATGAGTGGAAGCCATACACATTGGATGGGCAGCGGATTTTCCCCAGTCATGAAGAAGCTGAGTACACAGCCCCGCTGGCCTTCGCCATTGCGGTGTCTACTAGTTGGTGGGCAGTGCGTGTCGGTCGAGCTAAGTTGCGCGTCCCTCGGATGCCACCGACTGAGGCTGTGGGCCGCCGGGAGCATTGGCTTCACTATGATCCTCGCTCGATGCGCAGTTGGGCTATGACCCCCTTGGCGATTCAGCTGGGTCTGCGACCAGTCGATCCTCGCGAGCGTGCACGGGTGGCCGAGTCGTTGACCTGTTAGTGGATGGCAAACTTCCCTCCAAGTGCATCTACGTGGGGCGAGGGCATCACAGTCACAAGTTGCCCCTGTCGAAATGGCGCTCTCCGTACACCCCGGGACATGATTGCACCGCAGATGAATGGCTCCCCTGTTATGTTGAGTTCATCATGTCGTCCAAGGCGGCGGAGCTCCCAGAGCTAGCAGGCTGCACCTTAGCATGTGATTGCCCGCACGACAGCGACATTTGCGAAGCGGATGCACTCGCAGGCCTGGTTTTTGACGCCACAGCCCCGGAAGCACCTCGCTATCTGGCAGCAGCAGGCGGGCAAACCCAGAGGCATCACTCGATGGCATCTCGGGCGCTGCGGTTGGGGGTCGTCTCAAGCAGAGGGGTGGCCGCGAGCATCCCAGCTCGAGTTGGCCTGTTCACCCAAGAGGGCGTTGTCACTTGCTTCCGCCGCCTCTTCCCAGGTCCGTGGTTCCAAGACTTCAAGTTCCCGATGATCGAAGACCGCCTGAACCAAGCACCGTTCTGCGAGTTTCCACGCTGGAGGAACCAGCATGATCTCAAAGCAGACGGACCCCTGGCCAGCGCAGCTTTGAGGCAGCGACAGCGCCATGCCGAAGGCCAGCAAGCAGGAGCTTTGAGTCACAAAGCCGCCCTACCTCCACTTTTGAGTTTTGGGCTGGACCCTGACACCCATTTCCAGTGAGCTTGTCTTCGCAGCCAGGTACCAATACCGACCGAGCAATCGCCCCTCCTGGACGATGACCTTTGGTTTGTGGCCGAACTCTATGCATCACGTCCCAAGGACCTACCACGCCTTCGCGAGCAGAGCCTCGGCATCTTGAGAGAGCTGAAGCAGCGGTGGCACTGCGTGGGCGAGCACCTGAGGACATTCCAAACATCAGCGATTCGAGCAGTCACCCGTTCCCGGGACATCGGACTGACGGCCCTCTTGGTGACTCTGACTTCCTGGCCGGACATCACGTACCCTCACGGTTTGGTAGCGGGACTACCAGCTGTGGGCACAGCCCCGCCCTACGGGGTCTTTCCAGAGCAGCCAGGTCGCATCCTCACCATGGAGGACGTGCTCGATGATTGGGAGACGCACAACTACAAGACCATCGCCTCGCTCAAACCCGGCAGACGTGATGCAGTGCTGCTCGAACAATCGCTGAGCGATGCCGCCCAAGGTTTCTGCTCTACACCGTTGACCCACACGCAGCTCCTGCGAGAACTGCGAGGCGAACCATTCCGCCTGATCCCCAGATGTGTGATCGTGCAATCGTCGGGCAAGAAGCGGATCATTGACAATGGAGATACAGGCGGCCAGTCTGAGCGATCCTCGGATTGGAACAAATTGGTCTTGTGCTCGCCATTGCGGCCGGCGCAACATGTAGGGGCGGTAGCCTCGCTTCTGACGGACGACCAGTGGCAGACTCTGACGACTGACGACGCGTGGCTATCAGGAGGCGAAGACTGGCCCAACGCCTACCGTCATTCCCCTATCAGTCGGGAGGAGAGCCGAGGCTGTATCGTCTGCTTTTGGCACGTCGAGCGGGAGGAACCCGCCTTTCAGGTGTATTCATCACTCCTCTTCGGCCTTCCGCTCGCAGTGACGTCGTTCAATCGGTATTCCCGCTTCATCGAGGCCCTGGGGCGGCGGCTTACCTACAGTCTGGTGTCGCTTTATTTTGATGATGCTCACATCACGGATCTTCAGTCAGGATTCGGCTCCAGCCAACAAGCTTTTTGCCAGTTGAACTCCCTCCTAGGCATCCCGTTCGCCGAGGAGAAGAAACAGTTGATGCAGCCGACCGGAACCTTTCTGGGCCTTGATCACGACTTCACGAATCTGGGCCGCGGCTTCGTAACGTTTTGGGCCCGAGATAGATTGATTCAGAAGACAGCTGCGATGATTACCGAAGCTCAGGCGCACAATAGTCTGTCCTCAGGCCAGGCGTCCAAGCTCTACGGCATGCTCAATTTTCTCGAGCAGGGCATGTACGGAAGGTTGGGTTGCGCAGGCTTGGCAGCCATCAAAGCACGTCATACGGAACGCAACCGTGACCTCACCCCAGAGCTTCAGCGCAACTTTGACGTGATTCACTCCATTCTTCACCATCGACCCTGTCGCGAACTCCCCGTGAGGCCGTCCGAGTGTCTGCGGTTTGTTGTCGCTTCTGATGCGGCTTTGGAGGAACCAAAGCAGGGCACAGGAGGCTTTTTAATCGTATGGCACGACCCGGTGGGACCGGTTCGGGAAGCCTTCATCGCCAATATTCCTCGGGAAGTTTACCAGCTGTGGGAGCCTGGCGATAGGCAGATTGCCCAGTTGGAGATGGTGATGATCATTTATGCCCTCACGTATCGGGCACAGGCCTTTCGGGGTCGCCGAGGCATCTGGCTGATCGATAACGTCGCTAGCCTCATGTGTCTGACCCGGGGCCGTTCCCAGTCACCCGATCTTGAGCGCATGTGCGGTTTGATTCACGTGATGTTGTACGCCTTGCGCACCTGGATGTATTGGGAATACATTCCTTCTAAGAGTAATTGGGCTGACGCCATTTCAAGATTAGGTTGGTCCGATCCGTGGTGGCGAACTAACGGATTCACCCCTTTTTCCGTCTCTTGCCCATTCTGCCTCTGGCACCTGGAATTTCTCTGAGTGCGTTGGGAGGATTTGAAGTGCATTGGGAGTGGTTTCCGGAGTGACCGGAAGGATACCACAAGGGTCTGATTGTGTCAGGCCTGCTGATGCAGGTAACCCAAGGCAATTATCCTGCTGGACATGGCAGGTTGAAGACCATACTGGCAAGACGACTGAGAAAAAGGAGGTGTGTGCAGACTACCGTAGCTACGAGAGTCAACCTTGGACAGAAATGAAAAAATATAAGAATAATTTAAGGAATAGAAGGCAATGGCTCACCAGTTCAACGGATAAGAAAAAGGTTGACACTCTTAGGGGGCTAAGATGGTAACCGTGCATGTAAAACATCAATTTTGATGATAGAACGGTCGGGTGCTTTTGTCGTCGCAGCTTCCATGCAAGCGTTCCCTACCTTGGTGCTCCTTTTTTGGTCTCGGACGGCCTCGGATGGCCTCGAAACGCGAGAAAAAATCGAACGGTGATGTAGGTTTTGCAGTGGGGGTGCCGCCAACCGCTTGGCACATATAAGCTGGGCGCTTCTAAACCCAACCCCGGGTAAATTCGAAGCTGTTGTTGGTGGGTGATGTTCGTTTTGCCATGTTTTGCCCTAGCTACACCGAAAAAGGCTTTGTACAGCTTGGACAAAACCTGTTGGCTCAAAGAAGGGTTCATCACCTCAGCCTGAACCACAGTTGATTGTGGCTTGGTGTGGGAAACGGGGAATTTTTTGGCAGGCATATAGCAACCTCATCCGAAGACAGCTGCCCAAAAAGATGCAAGGTCACCACGTGTTTTCGCAGAGGTTGGTCGCGCGTTCAGCAGCACTGATTTCTTGGCAGGAGTTGTGTTGAAATTACTGTATGCTCCCGCCTCGCTCAGGTGGGAGCAAACCAAGCACTGGCACAGCCAACAGCAATGCCCCGTGATTCACGTTGCGTGGCAGAGTTTACATTTGGCATTGTTGGCGAAGTGGAAAACGTAACTTGGGAGGAGCATTGACAGGATGATCGTTTGGCCAGCCAAACTGGACTCATACCCTGCTTTGGGGGTTTGGTGGCCTGAGGCGGCAGGAATGAGAGCCGTAGCAGGAGCCGAAAACCTGAGCCACGACCACGCAGCAGGCGCATGAGGCTATGCGGAATCGTTGCCAATTGTTCCCGCCTGAGTGTTCAGTTTGGTTGATGTTTGGAGGTTGACACGATGCGCTGGTATGAAGGGTGGGCGGATATAGTACCTATCACGTGACATTTTTTTTAAAAATGACTTTTGGTGTTTCACAACGTGGACCTTTTCAGCTGGAAGTAGAAAACGCAGAAAGGCCTAAATGGCGTGATAGCACAAAGTGTTTCAACGGGTTGGGGTAAACGGGTTCCAATAAATATAGCAAGTGTGGGTTGCGCAGATCGTTCCAGCTAAGACTCGCGGGATAGCATTTGTTGACCTTGCAGGTCTCCAAGTGGGCGAAGGCTCAGCCGGCCTAGCCCAAGCCCGCGGGACAGCCGTGAGAGAGGTGAGGATGGGTTTTGCGTGGTGTGGCTGGGGTTCAGAGACTGAATTGGCGCCCGAAAGATGCATGCAAGAGGGGAGTCATAGGCACTTGGGCATTTGGTGCTGCTAGTATGCACGCGGGCCACTTTTCGGACAGAATCCAGGACAGGTGTCCCACAGCCTGGTGTATTTGGATTGACATCACGTACGTATCAAAAGCGGAGGAGGATCGACCATTGGAAAAGCACTTGGTTCCATTTCCGTAAAACTCAGAGGCGGCGGGCCCTGTGAAACAGACACTTACGACATGCAAGGGCCATACCGGTTCCACAAACTCAATAATTGTCCAGGTGGAATCAAATTGCTGCCGACGAAACATGGATTTTCACAGGGTTGCTTGCTGGAATGCTCCAACCGTCAAATCAATGTTCCCGCCACCAGGCAGGGGCTATGTGCCTGGGCGTGGTTGAGTGAGCTGAGAAGACCAATTCCCCCAGTCATGTCATTTCCCGGCCCCGCATCTTGCGACAGATGTCACTGAGAAGGAATGTCACCAGGATGGACACGGTATTGTTCACTCGTGTCTTGAAGACTCGAACCCAACAATGAACTCAGCAGAGCTATTGATTCCCTTGCTCCGACATTAGTGGCATGTTCTTCTTTTTTCACTTTAGACCTTGTGACTGTGCTAATTACGCTTCTTAAAGTCATCAGCTTTTATTCGACCAAGTTTCAGGGAACAAGACTCCCTGCACATAGCTGTCCCTGATCTCGGACAGAGAGACACAGAGAGAGAGAGAGAGAGCTGTCTCCGAACACATCCAACAGGAACACAACGCAGCCCACTTCGCAGTGAAAGCACGCAACCATGACCCCTGACCGGACCTTTGGTTTTTCTCTTGACCTAGATTTCAGATCTTACGCAAAACTCTAATGTCCAGGGATTTCACCCAGTCGCACATCCCTGCTAATCAGCCTTCCCCTTCCATAGGTGCGCTCTTGCCTTTGATTGTCGCGGCTGGGTTTAAATTGGTTCCCTTAAACCATGAACGAAAGTGTAATTTCGGTAGAAGTCCTGACTTCCACATCAGGATAGGTTCCCCCAGAAACACAAGCTCAACAACATCTCCGGTGAAGGTCAGTGCAACCCATGTCAGACCCACAGAAACTGCCTTCACCATGCCCTGCCTGCTTGCTCACCAAACAGTGTGTATCTTACTCAGGCAAAGCAGTCAGTGATGCTGATGTCCAGGGAACTCACCCAGTCATGCATCCCTGCTACCTAGCTTTCCTATGCCATAGCTGCACTCTTGCCTGTGGCTGTTGTGGGCTGGGCTGAAGTTGGTTCCTTTAAAGCATGAACGAAAACACAGATGCTGCTTTTGCTTTCTTTTTTGCAATGTGTCAAGACATGAGGGGCCACAATGAAAGTCATAAGTTTGCCGGTGAGAAAGCACATGTTAGGACCGTGCTACTTTTGTACCAAACTCCCCGTCCAACATGGTATACAAAACAAGCTCTTAGTGCTCTGGTTTTTCAACATGTTAGGCCCCGGTCTACTGTGAATTCCTGAGGCCCCTTTTGAAGTAGTTGCAGGTATTACTTTTCATCAAAGCCTCTTGCGCCTTGAGCGGTGAATGTCCGGACATTTCAGGACCGGCGTGGCTACAGGTTGCTTGGTCCAATCGAGTTGTTGTTTGATATATTGTTTTTGTGCTGTCTCCAGTTGAATGATTTGCAAGTCCCAAGCGGCGGGCAGATGGTAACCAAGTTGCATTAAGTCAGTCTAGTGGGTCGTAGGGATCATTGAAAGCTGCAGGCTGGATAGTCGTAAGGCAATGCAGTGCTGTGGTGACGGAAGGTGGACAAGTTCTACTGAAGTATGGCAGGAACCTATTACAAAATCACTCTGCGGGAAGGGCAAGCCAGAAAAACACAAAACTGATGGATCTTGTGAGAACCGGCGGTCCTGAAAAACACCTGAGAAACACCTTACGGACGGTTTTTCTTCCGGAACGAAACACCTCCCCGCGACCTCCAGGACCCCTGAAGTAGTCACCACTCAGACTCCCCAGGTCTCGTGGTCGTGACCGGCGCGACCGTCGCGATCGGCTCCATAGCCAGCACTGAGACGAAAACGAAGAAACCGGTTAAACCGGTTTTGCTGTATTCTTGTGTGTTCAGCTCAGTGTGTTCTTTAACTGGGACAGAATGCGCGGCGTGGTGATTTTGCCCTGAATGGTTGGAGGGAGAGATGATGCAACTGAGTAGCTCAGCTTGTTGCATGTGCAAACAACACATCATTGGCTGGTCTTTGTTGTTTTTGTCCCTAATTTTCAATAGTGCGTTGTGTTCAGACCGAATCAGAATCATCATCTATATATTCTAATTCTATATGAGGCATCCCGTGAGCCTTTGGATCCGACTGAAACACCGCCCCGAGGTCACCCAGCCGCCGCGACCGGCGCGACCGCGACCGGCGCGACCGCTCGCGCCGGAGCCCTCGGGCCTTTGGGCCCGGCGGAAGGTGGGGCGCCCTTTTTTGGTCCGACCGGGGGGTTAACGGAAGAAGTTGGGGGCGAAGCATGGGAGCATTCTTGAAAAGACACTGAAACAGAGAGAGAGTGAGAGAGAGAGAGAGAGGGACTTTTCCTGAAACTGCAAAGACTTTGGGCTTTGGCGTTGCAGGGGTCGAAGGAGTGGTGGTCTTAGCATCGGTTGTGGGCCTTTAGGCCATGCAGTCCGTGATTCGCATGAGTTGGTGGAATGACGCCATAAAGCTACTTGTTTGGTGTTCTTTTTGCATTTTGCAGTTCAACTCTTTTGAAGCCTACTGATGTAAGACATATTATATGACCTCATATGTCATTTTGTGTTGGACCTGTGCGATGCTTGCATGAAGACGCAGGCCCAGTGGCAACTGGGGCGGAGTTCCTTGGCCATATTGGGGTGTGGGTCCTTCACACCCGGCGACCAGCCCAAGCACTCGTCCAGGCGTCCGGACCAGGCGTCCGTGCGGTCGGTCGTCCACCCCCATGACGAAGCTACTAGGAGCAAAGGGCATCGCTACGAACGGAGCAAGGACGCTACTAGGGGGGCTCCTCGCATCGTTACTAGGAGCAAGCGTTTCATTCCCGTGTGTCCAAGGATCATGGGGCTGTGGTGGCTGTGGGATTTTGGCCTATGGCATGGGCCAATGGTAAAAGTGGTTTGGGATTGGCATGATCAGCATGGCCTTCCTTGGTTTGGAACGTGGTTTGGGTTGGT